TCTCTCTCTCTCTCTCTCTCTCTCGTGTGTGTGTGTGTGTGTGTGTGTGTGTGTGTGTGTGTGTGTGTGTGTGCATGAGGGGGTCAATGTCAGGCATCTTCCCTTATAGATAGCTAGCTCTTCACTTTAAGTTTTGAGACATGGTTGGCCACTGAATCCAGAACTCACTGAGTGGCTAGATTTGATGTGGTCCCCTTGGCTTCTCCTTTCTAGCATAGGGATTGCAGGTACATATTGTCATACCTGACATTTTTACATAAATGTTGATAGTTAAAATCAGGCCCCATGCTTTCATAACAAATGCTTTACAGACATGTGATCTCTCCAGTCAAAATGTTTCAAGTCTACCCCATCCTTCCACAGGCATTGCTGAGTTCCTATAATCCTTTCAGGCACCAGCACATTCTGAATCAGGTCATTAAAATGCAATATATATTTTTTGGAACTAAAACATTATAAATTAAAGGAATCCATAATTAAAAGGAATAAGTGCATAAATTAAAGGGAATATTCAAAGTTGCCTTGAGACCAACCATTAAAGGCTAGTTTAAAAATGTGTATCTTGAAGAAAAGTCAATCAAGTTAGAACTCAATGGAGAGAGATTTGTCCTGACCACTGGCAGGCTGGGACACAGGTAATCTTCTAGTTACATAAAAAAAGTCTAGCACTTGACCTGGCAGCTGTAAAACCTTGCTGGCTATTACCAAATCTTATTTGGCTTCTATCATTATACCTATCTGCAGCATCTTCAGGGTGCTTTTCCTACTTTGCAGCCTGGGGATTTATCATCTTCTTCAAATATCACCCCCTGACATGAACCTTCCTGTAGCTACTTCCTGCCACACATCGGATTGACCATATTAAGTGCTTTGACCATATTTTTATATGTGCTTTTCTTTATGTTTGTCTCTTTCATTGTATTAGCTCATAGACTGATAGCATTTTTTCTTTGTAATTTCTGACACCTCCCTGCTCATGATGGCTGCTATAGCACTTGTATTGGCCAATTTGATGCTGCTTCACATAGGTAATCCTTTAATAAACTTCTCTAGGGTTCAAAAAAACTAGTTGCCAAATACAAACCATTCTAAATGAGATATTTTCCTTGAAAGATAAAGTGGCCATTGGTGGACCCTAGAAGAATGTGAATAAATGTGAAATATCCCTGATGAGTTTAATCCAATTCTAATTTGTTAGTGAATTCATTAGTAACATTTTCTCTTCACTTCTGCTTCTGAAATGTCATTGAAAGAAGCTACTTTTCTAACATACAAAGACAGATATTTGCCAAAATATAGTGGAAACATTACAAACAAATAGGTTTCAAAGTCTCAAGCTGATGATTAAAATGTCAGAGGAATACATTCATTTACATCGATCTTTTTACAATCATAAATACTGAACAAAATCAACATTTTACAGTAATAAACTGTTATATTTTAACATGTGAAAGTGCTTGTCTCTGAATTCAGCTTACTGTGACAAGATTTCCAGTCTGACATATCCAGTTAGGTCTATAGATGTTTTCTGATAATATATTAAGTAATAATGATTGATCATCTGTCTTGCTCTCATCTATCTATATCTATTATCTCTCTCTGTCTCTCTATTTCTATATCTATCTATCTATTATCATCTATCTATCTGTCTATCTATCTATCTATCTATCTATCTATCTATCTATCTATCTATCTATCTATCTATCATCTATCCATCTATCTATCATCTGTCTATCATCTATCTATCATCTGGCTAGGTGGCATCTACTTATACATTTTTTGCACATTCATTTGCCCTTCCAAGGATAAATTTGACATCTATGTTTATAACCTACTTTTGCCAAAAACATCAGGAAAAATTATGTCTGTACTGAACATAAAATATCACAGACTTAAAAAAAAGTCATTCCCTAAACAATACAGTAAAACAACTATTTACATAGCATTTACATCATGTTAAATATTTTAAGTAACTTAATATTGATCTAAAGTATATGAGAAATAATTGCAAACATTTTAACATTTTATGAAAGAAGCTTAAGCTTCTGTGAATTTGGTATCAAAAGATATCCTGTGACCAGTCTCCTGTGGATACTGAGAAATGACTCATGTACACATACATACACAGACACATAGACACACACACACACACACACACACACACACACACGCAGATGGATGTTTGTCATATTAAAAAATGGATCACTAGTCACTTTATACCAAAAAATAACAAATTTCAATTTGAATTTAAGTTTTAACATTTTTTTTTCTGCTGATCATTCCACCAAAGGAAATAATTGTAGTTGTAGTTTATTGAATGCTTTCAGTAAGCTTTCTATTTTGTCCCTTTACTTCTCATCTGGTTGAAATCCTTTGTTTGTCTCATGAAATGATGACCTGGGCTCCATTTCATTGTCTGTTTTCTCTTGAAACTCAGTGTTATTTTTTCCATGACATTTCTTGTATGCGACATAAACTGCAAAAGCAATGTATGAGAGGTCAAGTAAGTTTCAGAATGACACCTTGAAAAATTACTTTGGCCAGTGATTGCTTTATACAGTTCAGAAAGCACTTTGCATTTTCTACAGACTGCAGGTGTTATGGAAAACCAAATCATTATTTTAGTTTTAGCATCAGCATATAGCAGTAATGACTGCACTCCTGAAGTCTGGGTGGAGAGCTTCAGAGGATGTTTGCTCAGCATTAAGTGTATGGCCTTCTCATGGCTTCAAGCTGTATATGCTACTTAACAGCAAGGAAAAATAATTTATTTTGTGTCTACCCCACCCTAGTTAATGTGTAGTCTTCAACTAAATATACTGTATGCCTGGGTGCAATGTCCAAGGCCTTGGTCTGATCATCCCTTATGGAAAGTCTTGGGTCAGAATAACATGCCTAGTTTTTTGTCTTCACTCATTCTTTCTTGTTGTTGATCAGATTTCCTTTCTTCTGTGGTACAAATATCTATCAGCACTTTCCCCCTTTCTTTGTGTGTGTTTGTGAATGAAGTGTGTGCATTTGTGTGTGTGTGTATGTTGCTCATGTGCACACAATGTACATGCATGTATTCAGTTGCATATTCACATTTGTGTGTAAGTGTGGAGGCCAGGGGTGTTGCTCTTCAAGAGCCATCATCTATCTATCTTGTTTTTTGAGACAGGGAATTTCCACTGGCTTGAAACTCACTGGTTAGGCTAGGTTGGCTGACCAGAAAGCTCAAGCCATCTACATATTTGTGTTTCCTCAGAGCCAGACCCCCAATGGATCCATGTCACATTTTTTGTAATATGCGACTCTTATACTGGAAAGGAGACTCTGCCTGAAAAATAACACTGAGACAGTGTGATGGGCACCTGCAGGCACATGGATGCATATTGGAGCTGGGGATAAAAATAATGCCAAGATAAGTGAAACGATCTCTGGGATTTCATAACTTCATCTTCACAGTATTTTTGTCATGTACCTCCACTTACCATTTTCTATTAAAAGGAAGTTCATTTCTTTGTTTTAAATAGGACTTGAAAAATGCAGTTTAAGTACCATCAGACTTTGGATAGTCAATGATAGGGAAAAGTTCCAATTTGGTGAAGGAGAGTTGGTGTGGACCAAATGAGGGAGGATGAAATTATGCTGTGACAGAGTAAAACTAAGAAGCAGGTTATCTATCTCTGGTACATCTTTGCTTACACTTCTTCAGTTATATGAATTTAAAATTGACATGTACAAACTTACACACACATCTGACTTATGATTTTTCATTATAAATAAGGTTTGTCATCTACCTGATAAATACCCTATTTAAAAAGTATATCAAGACAAGGCTTTGGAGTGAAAAATTGCTAAAACCTGTGTTCCTTAGAAACATTTAGAGAGGTGCACAATTAAATTTTCCTCACAGGCTAATATGCCTCTCTCACTACTGAGGAAGAGAATGTCAGCAGAGAGGATCCATCTCTTCTACTTTTCTCTTAAAAATGCCTCACTAATGCCTATAATAAAATTATATTCTTTGTATCAGCATATATGAAGTCATGATAAGTGACTTCCGTGGATGCATTTTCTTCAAATTTATTTGTACAATGAATTGCCAGAAATGGAGAGTCTTTAAAAAGTCTGTTTTAGCAATTCCAGGATTTATCCAAAAGGAACATCATAGTAAAATTGATTAGCATTATTTCTTACTTCCTAATAATATCGCTGCAAAGATGATCTGGAAAATGCTATAGATGAGTGGGAAGGTGAACACAAGGTTGAGTTCCTCAGGGCTGAAGGAGAGCTGTACAATGGTGGAACACAGCTGAGTGTTCTGCATCCCAGTTTCCAAGGCAACTGTTCGGCACCTGGGAGGAAGGTCAAAGACGTATATGATTTACCTGTTATTAGGCTTATTAAGATATGACAGAAAGGGAAGGTATAATGAAAGAATGTACACAGACTGCAATTATTTTCTTCCCCCTTTCCCTCCCTCCTTCCCTCCTTCCCTCCCTCCCTCCCTTCCTCCCTCCCTCCCTTCCTCCCTCCCCTCTCCCTCCCTACTTCCTCCCTCCCTCTCTCCCTTTCTCCTTCTCTCTCCCTCCCTTTCTTCCTCTCTCCCTCCCTCCCTTCTTTCCTTTCCTGTCTCTCTCTATCTTATTTCCTTTTACTCCATTCCCTCTCCCTCCTTTCTTCCCGTCTTTCTTTATCTCTCCTCCCTCCCTCCCTCCCT